TGCCATTAGCACCCATGGCAATTTAACTCCCACTTTAAACATCAGGGTAAAATGTTGTGAACTTCCCTTGTGTATTGCAATTGCAAGTGTTTAGAAGTAACAGTAACAGAGTTGGAAGGGACTTTGGAGGTCATCCAGTCCAACCCCCCATTCTCGCAGGATACCTATATTAGGGATTTGAATCGCCGATCTTTTTGATCGACAAGCTCAGCATCTTAGCCACTGAGCCATCTAGGGAACCGCCAAAAAGTATACTACTTGTGACCCTTATCATGTTTGCACTGGGATTGTAATATTATATTTTGTGTTACCTTAAGTGCACATTTTTCTTATCAACCCAACCCAGCAATAAAGAGTTAAAGAATAATTGCAGTTATTACTGTGATTGCATATGTTCCAAAGTTGAATTCTGCTTTACTTTGGGAGTATTTTCTTCTTATCACCGTAGCTCTCACACCCCAACATGGGAGCTATTTTCTCAAAGAGGAGCAAAGGTGAACAGATCAGGAATTTCTAAAGTAACTCATAATGCCAGGAAAATGAACCAATACTGTCATAAGCATAGATCTGTGATTGTTCCCTCTGGCATGACAGGAACACAACAGTGTCTGTGCTGAATCCAATACTGAAACTTAATGAACACGCCAGAGAATTTATCTATAGTACTGAGCCCCTTTAGCTAAATGAAAGTCAAGATAACATTAATTAACAGTCACCGATATTTTGCAATTTTTTTTCATGTCATACACCTATTGGAAATCCATTTCTTCAATGCATTGCCTTGTTAAAACCTTCATTCTGTTGGCCATCAGGTTCAATGGAAATAGTCAAACTTAGTGTAGGTATTTTCTTCCTTAAACTCCTTTACATTGCTCTTTTAACATTGAAAACTAACATGCCACTAACTGATTAAACTGATACCCTCAGACTGTCAGTTTTTCAATTATTACTTCTTGTTCCCATAATGAATATCTCTCTCTCTCTCTCTCTCTCTCTCTCTCTCTCTCTCTCTCTCTCTCTCTCTCCTCTCCCTCTCCCTCTCCCTCTCCCACACACACAAACATATTGCAGTGGAGGAAATGCCATATCAGGCTCCTTGTGGACTCCTGTAGCAAATCACATGACTGATCATTCTTTTCTACAGAATACGGTGAGATCAGGTACTTGGGCTTTCTATTTAAATTTAATTTCCTACTGAAGAAATATTTCCTTCTTAAAAGAAAGAAAAGCATCACTCTCTAGAAATCCTTCTGTGAATTGCTTTATTATTCTTATTTTTCTGTGGCCACATACAGTATTCTGCCACATAAAGCTATTCCCACGGAGACTACCCGAGCTTTCTTTTTGACAGGTTCCTTTGCACAATAAGAGAAACAAAGATGGAGCCTCCAGCCATGCTGAACATCTCCCCAAAGTAAGGGTGGGCCATATTGATGGATTAAGAGCTGCAACTCTGAGTCACCATCTTCTGAAAATGGTGGCTCAGTGGCTAAGACACTGAGCTTGTCGATCAGAAAGGTCAGCAGTTCAGTGGTTTGAATCCCTAGTACAGGTCTCCTGTGTGAGCAGGGGGTTGGACTAGATGACCTCCAAGGTCCCTTCCAACTCTGTTACTGTTAAGGAAAAAAATGTTAAGAACACCTGTCTGGTGACATGAACATCCTCAAAAGTAAAAGGCAAGGGTTTTTTCTGCCCCGGGCTGATGGCAAAGCTGTCCTGTAGAAAACTTGGGAGTTGGTTCCCATTAGTCTCCCTCTTCATCCTGGTCTTGGTAGAAGGAGTTTAAATTGGACTCCAACCAGGGGAGAGATTCAGCCTATTTGAACCAGTTCGTGAAAACCGGTATCTCCGACAATCAGTTGAGAGCGAACCAGTTCGCTCCGACAATCAGGTCGCTCAGTGAACCTGTTGTTACACCGGTTGAATCCCACCACTGACTCCAACCTGCATTGGACCTCCAACTTTCATAAATCTATTCACATTTATGTGTGTGTGTTAATTGAGTACATCAGGGGTGGGCAACTGTGGCCCTTTTACAACCTGTGGACTTCAACTCCCAGAATTCCTGAGTCAGGAATTCTGGGAGTTGAAGTCCACAGGTTGTAAAAGGGCCACAGTTGCCCACCCCTGGACTACATGATAATAAAATTATGTTGTATCTTCAAAGTGATTTGATTGCTCTAGGTAAACAATATTTTGGTCACAACAGCTTCCGACAAACAGAGCAGAGAACAGCCATGCCAGAAATTAGTCACTCAGTTGAAGCCCATTTCTGGCTGCCTTCTTCCTGATTTGAAGCATGACCGAAAGAATGCGTATTATTTCAAAGGGCACATCTGTCATACAAAAGTCTAGTTATATTATATCTACTCCTTCCCCCATATTCAAAGGGGCTACAACCACAAAGAAGCAGAAAGAAGAACTCACCACCAGGAGAATAGGCTAAAATGAAAAGGCTGAACCAGAAGCGCACAAATGAAAAAGTCAAAGATAAGGAGAATCAGTACTGAAATATATTACAAGACAAAAGTGTTTTTATGGCTTCTGTATAAAGAGTAACATATATAATAAATGAAATGCTAACATCCTAATTGTGAGATACCAGTTTTAAATTCAATAGAGAACATATCATTCTCTAACCTAGATTAACACTTAGCTTCTGTTCCAGGAAGGGAAACATCAGATATATTGACAATCATCTGCAAAGCACTCCATGCTTATTTGCAATATTTGGTATATTTTAAGATATTAAAATTAATGAAACTCCTACAGGAGTTCCATGAACAACCAAGGAATAAGTCACAGTCAAGTAGATCTTGCATACACTGAAACTGGAGTGAACGTACTAAAGGCCATCATATTGTTACTGACTTCTCAGGAGCAGAGCTACATTTTCTAGTACATAAAAACAAGGATAGTGATCTAGGGTAACACAAGTAACTTGTAAGTGAAATAGGGAGAGGATTGGGCAGAAGAAAACAATACACGAAAGGGAAAAAACCCCAGAGATCTTGGTGCAGGAAAGAGAGGAATATCAGTGATAATAGGCTCCAGAAGGAGGTAGAAAAGTAAAGAAACCTGTATGTCTTAAAACAAGTGTCATTAAATAGACAATAATGTCTCACTTGGACCCATTCTGGGAGGGTGCAAGAATATGTGAACAGATGGAGTCCACAGTGGGCATTTTAAAAGGACTATCAGGACTCAAAGGACCAAGACTTGCTGTGAGAAAGAGGTTGCCTGTTGACCTGGATTCTGCAAGCTGTTCTAAAAGTAGACTTCCTAAATAGCTATTTGCATCCCAAAATATTCTGGGAAACAATGTTCTCAGTAATTAGTAACAGATATTTTCTTTGCCAGAAGTCTCCCCACCAAGGTCCATCATCTTGTCAGACCCTAACAAGCAGCCCCAGTTCTAATTAACATAAGGCTGATTCTTTTCTTGGGTGATTTTTAATTTTGGGCAGGTTCATCCCACCTTGTCATAATTTGTGGCCTTCTTGTACAGGTTTTAAGATTTAAAGACACAAGGGCTCTCCAGGACAGAAATATTTGTAATACCTGTAGTGGCCTCCATCCTTCATCTCTGAGTGTTTAAATAACAAGTGACATAACACAAAAAATATTTCCACTATGAGAATAGCATCCAGTTACCAGGGCAGTGAATATGATCCTCCTGTTTTATTTCAGTTTACAAAGTTTGCATTGTCTGCTCTTGTGTGTTTAAATAATCCCCACTGTAAGGATTTTTAAAAAACTTTGCAAATCAAATGCATAACTGCTCAGCTCTGGTAACCATTCTTCCAACAGAATCCAAAGCAGCATTTGTCTAGGGGCAGGCTGCTGGGGGTTCGCAGGGGTTTGGGAGAACCTCTAGCTAAGATTCTGTTCAATTCAGAGAACCCCCAAATCCCACTCCTGGCTGGTCCCACCCATCCCGCCCTGCCCCTCCCAGGAGTCCCCATGTGGCCCGTTTTGGATGCAGGTAAGTGCAGGATGCATGAGGAGGCTCAGGGAGGACAAAAAATGGGCCTACCAGAAGTTTGGGAAGGCTGGAAATGGGCCCGTTTCCAGCCTCTAGAGGGCCTCCGGAGCGTGGGGAAGCAATTTTCACCCTCCCGGAGGCTCAAGCAAAGCCTCCGGAGCCCAAGGACGGCAAAAATGCGCCCCCACCGCTCTAGTGCAGGAGGCCAACTAGGCCACACCCACCCAGCAACTGGACAGAGAACCCTTTGCTAACATTTTTGAAGCCCAGCCCTGCATTTGTCTAAATACCAACTATTGGAAACCAACAGCCATATGAACTATTGTACCTGTGTCCTGTACATGGGCTTCTATAAAGGCATTGTTAGTCTTGTGGGATAAACTAGATAGGAATGATAGCCAGATGAGCTAATTCTATTTTATTGTAAAGATACATTGACATAATCTTGCAAGTATGAAAGTATGCTATCTGATCATTTCTTTGGCAGCATCTCTTGACCCAGTCTCCCAAGGTTTTTCCCACATTCCATTATAGGAATATACCATTTGGAATATTGTTCAAGGGAATTCTATTTAGCTCTCCCAGTATTTAGGAAAATGGCAAAAATGCAACTCTTTCCCCAAGTTTTTACTATTTTATTTCTTCTGATTTTAAAGTTGATTTCAATTTAAATTGTAGTTATTGCGGTTTTATATTTTGTAAGCCACCTTGTATTCTCATGTAAGCTGAAAAGCAGGTGTGTGTATATGGTATTGTTATTGCTTTACTTATTTTCTATTCTCAACATACAAGGAAATGTGAAAATCCCTTTTTGACTGTTTGAATCAAAATAGAGAATAGGAAGTATTAGTCACTTCTGCTTCTTGCCCCCTGCATATCACATTTCTCCAGATCAGTCCAAAACTTACAACATGTGATCCTGTAATAAATATGGAAATTAAAGATTCTTACATCACACAAATATGATAATTTTCCCAAGTTCTTTTTGTTTTAATTGTAACAAATTGACTTCCAGAATCAATCAAACAAACAAATCCTATGCTGGTGGAGGAGGAGATAGAAGTGACAGCTCATTCTTTACTTCCAAAATCTTGTTATTTGGATTCCATCAGGACGGAAGGCAGGAGCAAGCCAGGTATTTTTTGTGTGCATATTTTGTTATGACCAATCCTCTAAATAAACTACAAAAGCATACCTAATTCTTTTTTTTTAAGTGAGTTAAAAACAAAGTAATTACAGAAAAACATCCCCGCCCACATTGAGATACATGTCTGAATCAGCCTTATAAACCCAGGGCAGCTCCGTATCTGAGACAAATTGATCCCTCCTAGTTGATAGCGCAGCAATTATCAAATATAGCAGGGGGAAAAAACAGATGCTCAAGAATACCATAGCTGCCTTCACACATAGGCTTTACGCTACTGGGATAAAAGAAGGGATGGAGAAAGCAATAAGATGGTTTGTTAGGTGAATTTAAAGTCACAATAATATCCCTTCTGGAAAGGCCAAGTGCCAGATAGAAACCAAATATGAGTTCTTGTCAGAGATGCGATCTGGATACTGATAGAATAAGTGAACATTTTGATGATGGTGCAAAGTATTTCAGAGAGATTGTTCTGTGACTTCAAGATCTTTCCCAAGAGATGCGAGCAGCAGACGCTAGAGAGACTCCTCTGCTCTTTGAATTCTGTAGAGCAGATGGTTTGCATACAGAAACTGTCAGCAGAGAGAAGCTGACTGACTGAGCCACACTTCATATTATTATTATCTTGGGGGCTGCTGCTGAGATAATCAGCCATAATATCATTTAGATACCTCTCAAATAAGCATATACGCTCTCTCATCGCAAACGCGATTCCCACACACTATTAAGAGCAAGGAAACATTTGTTGTGATTTGATCACTGCGACAAGGAAGTTTAAATGTGAATTTTAAAGAGAAATGTACGGGTTCTTGATCATTAGGATTGAGAGAGAGGGGTGTATATGTGTATGACTAATTGCAATAGGGTGCATTTTGGTGTAACAAATTATATGAATGTATTATTCATTGTTATTGAATGTATATCCTTCCTTTCTATTTATTCCAACATTCAGGACATTACATCATATGCTGACTAGGGAATTATGGGAGTTGTGGCCCACATGACTTAAAATTGCCGTGGTTGAGAAAGCCTGATTAACGCCAATAACATAAGAGAACCAACAAGGTATACAGTGGTCAGGGTGTTGGACTATAGGCAAGGAGATGCAGGTTCTAGTTTGTTCATTTATTTACTGGATTTATATGGCTGCCCATCTCACATAAATGATTCTGGGCAGCTAACAAAGTAAAATCATCAATACAATAAGATACAATAAATATAAATATAAATAATATAAATACAAATGAAGAATAACCAACCAGCCACAAATACATTCGATTTATGGGTTCAACTCCCTTCCCCCACCTCGGATCTCAATGCCTGGAAGAAAAAACAGAGGACTTTATGGAAGACCAGTAGGGTTGGGGCTAATCTGATCTTGGAAGGAATGGTTTTCCAGAGGACAGGCATTACTACAGGTAGTCCTCAACTTACGACCACAATTGAGCCCAGAATTTATGTTGCTAAGTGAGAAATTTGTTAAGTGAGTTTCGCCCCATTTTACAACTTTTCTTGCCACATTTGTCAAGTGAATCACTGCACTTGTTAAATTAGTAACTGTTGTGGCTGTCAGCAGCCTGTGCGGATTGTAGCTGACTCTGACAGCGAAGAGGCTGGTGTGGTGTTGCGCCAGCAGCTTGTGCAGCTGGCACTTGAGTCGGACAATGAGGAGGCTGGGGAAGATGTGGTGCCAGAGGCAGGGATTCAGCCAGGGCCTTCAGAACCTCCAGAAGCTCCTTCAAGTGAAGAGGACGAAGAGGAGGAGCCTCTTCTTGATGCATGGTAGCGCAGAGCTGCCAAAAGGCAGGAGTGGCTCCTCAGGAGGAGGTCTCCTCAAGAGTAAGGCTTGGGGCTAATTGGCCACTCCCTTAGCCTATTTAAGGAGGAATGCCGACTGAAGGAATTTGTAGGGAACAACTTTAGTTCACTCTACTTCGCGTCTGGATTCTCTGCAAAATTGCTTCTGGGCTTTCTGCTTTCTTTAGTAAGATTGTGATTACTTTATCTTTGGTTTTTTGTAGGCTGTTAAGGAAGTTTATTAACAGCCTTTGTTTTGATAAAGACTGAGTTATTTTAGTAAATTAAGTTTTGTACAAACTTTGTGTGCTGTATTCTTTGGGGTCCGTAGCTGGGGCAGAACAGTAACACAGTTGTTAAGTGAACAACAGAAGAGTGAGGAAAATCCTCAAGGACGACTCACACCCTGGTCATCACTTCTTTATCCTCCTACCATTGGGAAGGAGATATAGAAGCATAGCCAGCCGCACAAACAGGCTGAAGAACAGTTTTTATCCATGGGCTGTTAGACTCCTGAATGCGAAATAACATCATAACTACGTAGCATGATGGACTTGCAGGGCCGGCGCAATGTGTAACATGTTCACACTGGTGCAATAGGATTGGGTGTTTGTTAATATGATTTATTGGGTTAGGGATGTTCTGTCTTCACTGTGATTTGTTTCGTGTTTGGGAGGAGGTGCACTGAGGGAGCTCAACCAATCTCATTGTACGTATGTTGTGCACTGACAATAAAGGTTTGAATTGAATTGAATTGAATTGAAGTTGGCTTCTCCATTGACTTTGCTTATCAGAAAGTCACAAAAGATGGTCACATGATCCAGGGGCCCTGCAACCATCATAAATATAAACCAGGTGCCAAAAATCCAAATGTCAATCACATGATCATGCAGATGCTGCAACAGTCATAAGTATGAAAAATGCTCATGGGTGATTTTTTTTTTCAATGCTGTTGTAACTTCAAACAGTCATTAAATGAACTATTCTGAGTCAAGGACTACCTGTACAGAAAAGAAAAGAAAAACAGACTTTATGAGACCCACTAGATAACACTCTTTAGTTCAGTGTTTTTCAACCTTGGTAGCTTGAAGATGGGTGGACTTCAACTCCCAGAATCCCCCAGCCAGCGCTGGCTGGGGAATTCTAGGAGTTGAAGTCCACCCATCTTCAAGCTTCCAAGGTTGAGAAACACTGCTTTAGTTGATGAGACCTAGAGCATACAGAGACAATCGGAAAGAGATGGCTGCTCAGAGTAAATAGAAAGTCAGTTTAGTGTAACGGTTAAGGTGCTGGCCTAGAAACTAGGAGGACCTAGTCCCTCTCCCTCAGCCCAAGCCTCCTCACAGAGTGGTTGTTGTGAGGAAAAAAGGAGGAGGAGGAAATATTGTATATGTTTGCTGCCTTGTAAAATAACAAAGGCAGAATAAAAACCTAATAAAGAAAGTAATAGGGTCCCATACCATGAAGGGTTTTATGGGTGATAATCAATACCTTGAATTGCACCTAAAAGCCTATTGAGAAGCAATGCAGCTAGCAAAGTGAAATGTAAAATGGGTATAACAAGCCATGGCCATAACCGCTGGTGAGGATGTGTTTTAGTGTTTTTGAGATCAAAGACCAGAACACATCCATGCCAGCTGCCAACACCCAGAGAAGCAGGGATTAACAATAGGCAAACAAGCAGAAAACAATACCCTAATCAAGAAACTATCATGGAGAACATGCCACCACCACCCAAACTGGCAGAATAAACTACTGTATATAAACATGGAACAAACCCCACATCTACCTGAACATATGATGTTACCCTATTAAGTAATGAAACATCTACAAGCAAACAACCAAGCTCAGAAAGCATCAAGAACTTCACAGTTCAACCCAGAGCTATACTGTATATTTTTTCTTCTATTATATATGTGGCTATTGGAGTTTTATAAACACATCATACTGAAAATATCTATGGCTTATCAGCAGATAAGCCTACAGATCAGTAGACTTCTTTATGTCCAATCACAACTCGTTTTTACAAAAACAACCCTACCTGATTTGTAACTTAGGGCTGTTATATCACGTTCATCAAAACACCTTTGCTACATGAAATTAGCTTATTTGCACAGATTGTAAACTGTGCAGATTCTGCCTAATTGAAGAGTTCTGTGTCCATATTGTGCCAGAATGAATTCAGGTTTCATCTCTCCCAACAAGGCAATGGGCAGCTAGTTTGTGACTGCTTTCTGGTTGTTTATTTGGGCTTATCACAGAATTCTTGGATTGGAATATACCTTGGAAAGGTACAAGGCAGGGGTGAAATCCAGCAGGTTCTGACAGGTTTTGGAGAACTGGTAGCAGAAATTTTGAGCAGTTCGGAGAACCGGCAGTGGAAATTTTGAGTAGTTCGGAGAACCGGCAAATACCACCTCTGGCTGGCCCCAGAGTGGGGAGGGAATGGGGATTTTGCAGTATCTTTCCCCTGCCACTCCCACCAAGCCATGCCCACCAAACCACGCCCACAGAACCAGTAGTAAAAAAATTTGGATTTCACCACTGGTACAAGGTCCCTTGCAACTCTGTATTCAGTTATTCTTGTTGTTGTTGTTAGTTGTGACGTCATGTCCGATCCATCACGACCCCATGGACAACATTCCTCCAGGCCTTCCTGTCCTCTACCATCCTCTGGAGTCCATTTAAGCTCACGCCTACTGCTTCAATGATTCCATCCAGCCACTTCGTTCTCTGCCGTCCCCTTCTTCTTTTGCCCTCAATCATTCCCAGCATTGGGCTCTTCTCCAGTGAGTCCTTCCTTCTCATTAAGTGGCCAAAGTATTTGAGTTTCATCTTCAGGATCTGGCCTTCTAAAGAGCAGTCAGGGTTGACAAAATATTGGACATCTTCCTTTTATGCATCTCTAAAACATTTTTTTAATTAATATCCTTTAATTAGAAATACCTTTGTCTTATCTTTCTGGTCTCTAGTTCCCTGCAAAGCAAGGCTGGCTCTCTTTTTTCTGACAACTTTTCTGACAGTCATAGTCCATCTATATGGAGATGAGGAAAGGACAGCAATACCAAAGGGAAGAAAGATTTTCCCTTGTTTCATAAGCTGGCAGACACATCACAAATGGCATCCTGTGGGTCTTTTGAAATTTGATTTGTGTGCATGAAGCTTGTCTTTTCTCTCTCTCTCTCTCTCTTTCTTTTTCTATGAAGAATCAAGGCTTTCATTTCAATATTTCTCGATGCAAGTCCGGCCTCGCCTTTCCTCTAAGCAAGAATAGCTGTGCTTGCAAGCAAATGTTAGGTGAGCTGCAGCAACTGGCAACCTGTCACATGTGTCTCTTAGGAGGTATGGTTGTTAAATCCTTTCAAATCAAAAATGTGATGGGAGGGGTTTCCCCTCTCCTTCAAGATAATAACCAATAATGAAAACATTACCAGGCTGGAACAGAGCAGAAGAAATGGGACATTTTGCGATTCTGGTTCTGTTTGCTTTTGCTTTAATAGTAGTGCTTGCTGTTTAAACTGTAATAGGAGGGCGTCAGCAGCTGTTATTTGCTCTCTGTTTTGGCTTTAATGCATACTATCTTGCACAGTGTAAATAGTTGTGTTGTTGCTTTCCAGAGCATGACACAATAAATAATCTTGGATTTCCAGTAAACAAAACTGTCTCCTCTAAATTTACATCTTTCTTTTTATTTTAGCCCACACAATGGATACTTTCTCCCTTCTACCTAATGGGGGTCAGAGGTTTAAGCCCTCCCCAACAAGCAGAAATGCCTGGACGAAGAAAGAATTCTCTTTCTCGAAATTCTTCAAATGATCTTTATTTTCTCCATTGTGCTGTCCTCCCCCTGTGAAAAGTGACTTGGGGGAGGGGGGCAACCCCATCAAGAAGCAACTTTACCAGGAGTTAAAGCAGATCATGTAGTATACAAATGTTCCCTAAAAGGAGTTTGTTTAGACTGGGTAAGATTGACAGTTCTAGAAGCAAAGTCAGGCCTAAAATAAGAAACAGAGGATTATAAACTTATGCAAATTAGTATATACACTGTATGTGATTGGATACAGCAGTCAGGATATCACACATCACATGCCTTATGAGGTCAGTGATGTAACTATGATAATGAGGCAGGACTACAAAGACCATGAGAATCTGAAACAACAAAGAGGAAGTGTTTCATGAACATAGTTTCTTTCTAGAGCAGGGCTGTCAAACTCGCGGCCCACAGAACAGATACGTCATGCGCTGGCCACACCCACACCCGGTTTAACGAAGGGGGGAAAAAGTCACGATACGTCACGTGATGCTGCTGTGACAACGTGAGTTTGACACCTCTGTTCTAGAGAGTTTTGCTTTCTTTTGCTTTCCCCGACCCCTGTTCAGCTTCCAGTATCTTTTCCCAGTGTATCAGTATTCCTTGGTCTTCCAAATATATCATTGCAATGGTTTATTTTATAAATAGAAAGCATACAGGTAGTCCTCGACTTACCACCATTTGTTTAATAGTCATTCAAAATTCTAACAGCATTGAAAAAGCGACTTATGATTGGATGGTGCAGTTATGACAGTTGCAGAATTTCCATGATCACATGATCAAAATTCAGATGCTTGGAAACTGACATGTATTTACAACAGTTGCAATGTTCCAGGGTCATGTGATCACCATTTGTGACCTTCCCACTGGCTTCCGAGAAGCAAAGACAACGAGGGAAGCTAGATTTACTTAACAACTGCTGATTCATTTAATAACTACAGTAATTTGCTTAACAACTGTGGGAAAAAGGTTGTAAAATCAGGGGTGACTCACTTAAGAATCACCTTCCTTATCAACAGAAATTCTGGTCCCAATTGTGGTCATACAGTGAGGATTATCTGTAGTTTCCCTGGGAAAGGGAGCAGTTGCCCAATTTGACACCTCACAGCTGATCTAGTGCTTTGTTTTCCTGGGAAAGATATATATGTACTAGAAACTTTAATTTGTTTCCCCTCTCTATTTTCCTTCAACCAAGTCATCTATGTGTAGAAACATACAATATAAGAGAACCTGATTGATATAGTGGTTCAGACCTAGAAACTAGGAAACAGTAAGTTTATGCCTCAGGCATGAAAGCTAAACTCAGGAAACAGTAAGTTTATGCCTCAGGCATGAAAGCTAGTTGAGGGACTTTGGGTCAGTCACTTCCAGTCCAACCCACCTCACAGGGTTATTGTTGAGAAGAAAATAGGAGGAGGAAGGAATATTATGTATGCTTGTTGCTTGAATTACGGTACTTATAAGAGTCATGGTGGTGCAGTGGTTAGAATGAAGTATTGCAGGCAACTCTGCCCACTGCCAGCAGTTCAATCGTGACTGGCTCAAGGTGGACTCAGTCTTCTATCCTTCTGAGGTCGATGAAATGAGGACCCAGATTATTAGAGGCAATATGCTGACTCTGTAAACTGCTTAGAGAGGGCTGTAAACCCTATAAAGCAGTATATAAATCTAAGTGCGATTGCTATTACTATAAGGCGGGGTGTCAAACTCGCGGCCTGAGGGCTGGATGCATCACACGCTGGCCACGCCCACGCCGGGTTTAGCGAAGGGGCAAAAAGTCATGATATATCATGTGACACCGCCATGATGATGCAAGTTTGACACATCTGCTTTAAAGTGATTAAAAAGATCTAAATAAAAAAATAATCTTCACCTCTTTTTAGACACTGGGAGGCATCATGCTAGAATGTTTCAAATTCAAACTTAGTGACTAATGTTAATGATTTGTAATTCAAATAGCCTGTTTCTAATATGAGGCTGGGGGAGGTCCATAAAGGAAAGACAGAACTAAGCTTTCCACAATTTTTATATCACAATGTAGAAGAGAATGATCACATTGCCCAGGTATTATTTGCAACGATTCTGGATATTCTGCTAACTAGTTTCAGCAGAAACATAATTGGCCATCAAAATTATTGCTACAGGATTGGAAAATAGAGTCCTTAATCTGTTGTGGTTAGTAGCAGTATATGTATGGACTGTCACAATGACACTAAAGGAAGTGGCTCCTTTTGTAGAATATACTATGCATGTTTCTGTTGTGTGCTGTAAAAACAAATGCAGGTATACTGTACCATTAGATGAAAGGTAAAGTAAATTCCCACTCAAGTCAAGGTAATTACACAGGAATATCCCTGTAGGTTTTTGGCAGGAATTTGTAGATATTTTGCCATTCCTACATTTATAGGCAGACTGGACTCCTGAAGTTCCTCCCCAAATGGACTCTGGCCATATGTGCAGTTCAGCCATTGCTGTTGGAGAGTAAATGTTTATATTATTATGTAACGTGATGAGCACACCCAAAACTCATGGATGACAATTGCAATATATATATGTGTATGAAAATAGAAAAATGAGGAGGCATATATTATCAGTTATTAAATAGGGAACCAAAAAAAGAGGAATTTTGTGAACAACCTGCCATCTGGGCATCTTACTACTTAAGATTAAACTATGGATAATTTGAGGAAACTGTTTCATCATTTCTCCACATTCAGTTTTGCAACACAAAGGGGACAAAATACTTCATGTGACTGGAATTAAGCCACCTACACTTATCCAAATACAGCTTATTTCTCCCAATTGCTTATTCTCTGTGTGACCTGACCCCATCACTTCAGAAGAAGCAAAGCAGACCTGCTACACTTTCTATTGACACTCACCGCTTTAAATCTCTCATCTGTCACCTATTGGCTAAAGAATACATAAGACCAAAGCAGAAAAAAGTGAGTCGGCTCTGTTTATTACAGATCAAGCCAATCACATTCATCTTGTTTCCAGTGTGGGTGTTATTTTTGGCAGATCCCGGGTGCAGAGAACTGCAGATGAAATTAATAATGAATAGCACTACTTCTGAAAGAGATTTAGAAGCAAAGAAAACAGCTGCGGCTACCTCTGATCATATCATAGGTCCAACCTACACACAAATAAATTATTAATGAAGAGATCATATAAACCAACTGGGATCAAATCATGATATTCTAATTCAGAGTGGGCCCTAGATAAAAAAAAAAAAAGACTGTGCCAGACAACCAGCCATTCCATTACCCAACATTTCTGAATCCAGTGTACCTGAGATTAGTTCAGGCTATTACAACTTCTGTTGGTTCTGTTCAGCCATGAGGAACTTGTTTTCAATACAGAGTTTAGGCTACTTCTCCTTTTGAGTCAAAAGCTTATGGCAGGTGAAGTCTCAATCTATGTTAGATCTGGGCAAATAACTTTTGCTTTGAGATATGTGCATATTGCTGCTGCCCAATCAAGCCGTTTTTCATCCACATTTTAAAATGTGAAGTCAGATTGAAGTAAATATCAATGCAGAAATATGGTTTAAGTGCAGAGGTGCGTTTCAGCAGGTTCTGACCAGTTCTAGAGAACCGGTAGTGGAAATTTTGAGTAGTTCGGAGAACCGGTAAATACCACCTCTGACTGGCCCCGCCCCCATCTATTCTCTGCCTCCCGAGTCCCAGCTGATCGGGAGGAAATGGGGATTTTGCAGTATCCTTCTCCTGCCATGCCCACCAAGCCACAACCACAGAACCAATAGTAAATTTTTTTGAATCCCACCACTGTTTAAGTGCTATTGTCATTTACCATTAGAACATAAGAAGTAGCTTATAGTGGCCTATGGCCATACATACTATACCATCTTTTACAAAATAAAAATAAAAAACCTTTGAGGCAGCTGTTTTTGATCTCCTGGCAATTGATATCAGAGGCAACCTTTTTCCCTTTAAGGGTCATTTCCCTTTTTAAGTAAATGTGGTTCATACATGTTCATTTTGGCTTTAAATTTCACAAAATCAAAAAACAAAATGAGCTCATACTGTGAAGTTAGGGTCACCGGAGTTATTGTGAAGTTGTCATATGTTTCTAGGACCCATTTATGACTGTGTAAACATGGAAAATTTCAATAGAAGCTCAGGAGTCCCTATAACCAACTTTTCTTTTGCAATGTGCGGATCTGGTGTCAGAGAAAATCAGATATGTCCCTTATATATTTTCTAAACATAAGAATCTTCTTACTGTAAGAGATTTGCTTCTCTCTCTATACCAATGACTGCATCTCAAACGATCCATCTGTTAAACTACTGAAGTTCGCAGATGACACAACAGTGATCGGTCTCATTCGACACAATGATGAATCCGCATACAAATGGGAGGTTGAACAACTAGCCTCGTGGTGCAACCAGAACAATCTGGAATTGAACACACTCAAAACTGTAGAAATGGTGGTGGACTTCAGGAGAAACCCCCCCATACTACCACCTCTTACAATACTAGACAACACAGTATCAACAGTAGAGACCTTCAAATTTCTAGGTTCTACCATATCTCACAACCTAAAATGGACACGCAACATCAAAACCGTCATCAAAAAAGCACAGCAAAGAATGTTCTTTCTGCGCCAACTCAGAAAGCTCAAACTGCCAAAGAAATGCTGATACAGTTCTACAGAGGAATTATTGAGTCTGTCATCTGCACCTCTATTATGTCTGGTTTGGTTCTGCAACCCAACAAGACAGACACAGACTTCAGAGGATAATTAGAACTGCAGAAAAAACAATTACTACCAACCTGCCTTCCATTGAGGACCTGTATACTGCACGAGTCAAAAAGAGGGCTGTGAAAATATTTACAGACCCCTCGCATCCTGGACATAAACTGTTTCAACTCCTACCCTCAAAACGATGTTATAGAGCACTGCATACCAGAACAACTAGACACAAGAACAGTTTTTTCCCGAACGTCATCACTCTGGTAAACAAATAATTCCCTCAACACTGTCAAACTAGTTATTAAGTCTGCATTACTATTAATCTTCTCATCATTCCTATCACCCATCTTCTCCCACTTATGACTGTATGACTATAATCTTATTGCTGGTATCCTTAAGATTTATATTGACTGTTTCCCTATGACTATCATTAAGTGTTGTACCTTATGATTCTTGACGAATGTATCTTTTCTTTTATGTACACCGAGAGCGTATGAACCAAGACAAATTCCTTGTGTGTCCAGTCACACTTGGCCAATAAAGAATTCTATTCTATTCTATTCTATTCTATTCTATTCTATTCTATTCTATTCTATTCTATTCTATTCTATTCTATTCTATTCTATTCTATTCTATTCTATAAGATAAAAGCCTATTAGCTTTCTGTTCTGTAAGACTCCTCCACCAGGATTACATAGCTGCTAGGTGAGAAGTCTAATTCATATTCTATAGATTTTAAAAGGTCGACTCAGCCTTCCATCCTTTCTAAGATGGGTAAAATGAGGACCCGGTTTGTGGGGGCAATAAACTGACTTTGTATAAAATATACAAAAGTATGAAGGCTATTGCTTAACGCATTGTAAGTCGCCCTGAGTCTCCAGAGAAGGGCGGCATATAAAAATAAATAAATAAAAATAAATAAAATAAAACCCCAAAATGAGTTTTCAGCATGTTGCGTAATTATATTTGCCTTGTCTCTCTACAGTCATATTCACATATGCAAGTCTTCTCATCTTTTGTCTGCCATCAAACATTCATGATTCCCTACGTTAAGTCTCTCTGTCTGGCTGTGTACAGTTGATGTGCATGGAAGGAGATATCCTCTAATAGACTTGGTGAGCGGTGAGGCTGTGAGAAATAATTTAGAATCGACGAGGGAAGCATAATGCTTTTTAATTGCCATCAAGTACCATGTCACAGGCATGTATTATTGATACTGATTATCCCTATAAAGCACTTGCTTTTCTGTGTATTCAGCTTTGACATTTGATGTCTTACTGTGTGTCTTTCATTTTCTTCCTTTGCCTTCTACAGAGTTTTTGGATGGAGATCCCATTTCTTCACACCCTGCTTACTGTTTCTCATTTAGATTTTCTTTCTAATTGCATCATTTCATGATGCTTGCTTTTCTGTTTCATCTCTGCCCAGGGCTCTTTCTTCTTTTCCTAGTACAATTTTATTTCTCCACCCTCCTTTCACTTTGTACTCCTTTTTGTTATAACTATTTTAGTTCCTCTTTTCTCCTCTTTCTGACTTGCCTATCTATATTCCACATTACATATTTGTATAGAAAGAGGGCACCTTATTGATTTTGCACCACAAATACATTGAAATTAAGGAACAAATTTAACTATCCAGATAAAATAGGATTTATAGCAGGATTTATTCTGTGCCTGGGACGCAATATGGGGAAAATAGATTGAAAGTTAAGAAATGTTTTTTTTTTTAAACTGTTAATATGGAAAAAGGAGTTTGGGTAAGGCACAATGCTGCAAGGATGAATAAGCTTTTTTTCTTACAACAGGAAGGAATGTAAAATCCTTCTGTTACATAGTCTAACTGGGAGTCTAGCAAGGCAAAACATTACAAGCATTTTAATGTCTCTGGCTTCTATAATCTAATTAACAGATTTGAGAGAGAGGTAGTTAAAAATAAGTGTCATAGAAAATATAAAGAACGTAATTATTTTTCCCTAGTCTGCAATCCTGATAAGAATGCATGGACTAAATAGAAAAGCCAGCAGTGGTGCACCCCCTTCTCAAGAGGCCATTACTGGACTTTCCATCCTAGACCACTGTCCAGATCCAATCTTCCTTCTATGGGGAAGGTTGGGGAAAACAGCAGCTACAGTTTTTGTTGGCAGAGGGTTGTAGGTGGCCGTCCCAGCTGAAAACAGAGCTCAAGAGCCTGTTATCACTGGCAGAGTGCTTGGGCCACCATAGGCGCCGACACAAATGATGTCATGCTGACCATGCCCACCCTGGCCACGCCCACCCTGGCCTCTGAGGTCAAACACAACCCTGATATGGCCTTCAATGAAATTGAGTTTGACACCCCTGATATAAAGCAAATGAGAGATTTTATTAACATTTCTTTCTATTTAATAGTCAAGATTTATTTTCTTCAAAATCACTAAGACTGGAATCATAGCTGTAAGAAATAATATGATAATAATGAGTCACCCTGGAAGATGCCTCTCCTAATGCTGACGCACTGATATTTTTCATTTCCACCCTCACATTCTATTTTCCACTGCTTCATTATTATTTTTCTAAAAACACTCTGTTTTTACTGACACCAGTTGTTTCCAAACATTTGATAATCCAAAAATGTGGTAATGAATCAAATAGCTTTTTATAATCAATCCAGTTCATGTGTAAATTGGATCTTTGGTTTTTGCAATTCTTCAGAACCATTTTATCAATCAGAAGTTGAACTTTTGTATCTCTGCTTTTTCTTTTACTTCTTTTATGTACTACTGGAAGGATGTTATTTTCCCCTAAATAATCTTGGATATTGTCCAATATTATGCCTGTGAGTAATTTAAACATTATAGGTAAGCACGTTATCAGCTTGTAGTTTCTGGGTGTTGTCCCTTTTGTTGACTCTTTCTCAATCAGATAGTTTTTGACAGTTATTAACCAGTTGCTGATATTTCCTATATGCAATTTGTCATTAAGCTGTTTGGCTATAATTGAATGTAAGGTAGTCAGATATCTGAGCCAAAAGCCATGGAATTGATAATTTCCAGCAGTTATCCCCTTTATAATCTTTTTCACTGTTCCTAAATATAATCAATCAATCAATCAATCACCATTTCTGCTATTAGTTTTTCTATTTGATCTTTATGAAATTTTATGAAATTCATCTTTAAATATGTTTATTCATTCAGCCTTTTTATTACAGTCTTTTAAATTTCCCATATATCTTTCCAAAGTGGGATTGTTTCATTTTTGCTTCATTTTCCATTTTCAGAATTTGTTTTGCCATTTATATTTAGGTAGATCACCTTTGGTCTGATTGAAATAGCAGATTTTGCTTAAATTGGATGATTTGTCTTCATAGCATTCAATTTTCCCAGTTATTGCTGTTACAAGGGCAACACAAGTCAACATCTATTTATTTATATAACACATGTTTATGACTCCCCAACTTGTGATTTGTCCTCTTACATAAGATTGAAACAGATTCACCAGCAGTCCTAAAGAAATAGCCAACAAAAAAATAAAAAGCAGCAAAAAGCATTGTAATCTCAATTATTACAAAAATAAGATTATCCAACACCAAGGGCAAGGGGGAAGAGTCAGGTTTTTCAAGCCTATGCACCCATCTGATGTTGGCCATGGCATATAGAAGATCGTGACATGGAATATAAGAGGAGTGTGTATATGAATTAATCAATGAATTGAAAAATAGAAAACTAGTTGAACTGTATATCTGGGAAGCTAAGGGAAAGAGATAATCTGACCAATTCATGTAATAGTCAAAAGAGAAAGGAATCATAAATAAAAATGATGGGGTACATCAGGGGTGTCAAACTTGTGGTGTCACATTGTCGTATTGCAACTTTTTTATCCTTTGCTAAACCTGTGGTGGATGTGCCCAGCATGTGACACATCTGGCCCAAGGGCCATGAGTTTGACACCCCTGGGGTAAATCCTTGGAACAGAATGGAAAGATTTGTGTTACAAAGTGACAGAGAAATGATTAGACTAGTTAGGCTAATGAAAAGTAATTTAAAAAGGACAATTGGTGAAATGATGAAGTGAAAGCTGTGGATGAGAAAAATGCATATAAGAGAATAATTGCTACAAAAAAAATGAAAGGAACAAATATAATACATAATTTGTACAGAGATGGAAGATAGTTGTAAAAAACGTAGTCAAACACAGCAAGAAATGGTTAAATGAACGGAAATGAATGAACATTCCATCTGATAAATAAAGCAGGTCTAGCAGAGTGAATTTAATTAAAAGCAAGGATATAATTTTGAATGGAATTGAACTGAAAGAATGGAAGGAAAATTTTAGAGATTTGTATAGTAATGATGCTATGTTGAAAAAATACTGTTAATGTCCAAGAAAAGAATTGATGAAAAGGATGTAATAAATCCTGTCAAGAGTATTCATAATAGCAAGGCTGTAGATATTGATATTTTAGCCAGAGTTGTAGTTTACTTCTGGAGAGACTGTCCAATTTGCTCAATATAGTAATGAAGGCTACACTTATGTCTAATGGTTGTATTGTGGTGACCAAACTGGATGCTTTAAGCCAGGGGTCTCCAACCTTGACAACTTTACGACTTGTGGACTTCAACTCCCAGAATTCCTCAGCCAGTGCAGGAATTCTGGGAGTTGAAGTCCATAAGTCGTAAAGTTGCCAAGGTTGGAGACCCCTCCTTTAATCAATGCTTAATGTTTACTGCTGTACTTTTAAAAAAAGGCAGCTTTTCTCTAGGAAAGCCATTTGTAAGATCCTTCAAAGTCTGGATATCTCCGAACAGTTCATTCTTCCCGTACGGCAGTCATTCTGTTAGGTGAGGACCAACGTTTTCCTCGACCCTCTAATTCTCTCCATAGCATCCTTCCAATTCTCCACTGAATCAATACTCCATGTGAGGGGTAATGCACTCTTCCTGAAGATTGATTTTACTTTTCTTTTATCCACCCCCACATGCTTCATTTAAAGATCAGCTGTAAAACACTGTGATTCAAAATCTATGTGCTGTTCCTTATACCCAGCAGTTGCTCTGATTGTAGAAGTTGCACTGTGTTAGAGCTGAAAAATAGATGGATTGTGAAAGTGAGAAGAACAAAACTCAGTAACTTTTACATTGATCTCTTAAAACTTTTGCAAAATGTTTCCTTTCCGAATTGTCAGCTCTTACAGGCATGTGTTTTCCAATTGCTCAGGTAGGCATGGGACAACCCTGCAAAGGGAAGACAGAGAGTGCCACAGTCAGTTTTGTATCAGGCTGGCATACCTAAGAAGCAAATATCCTGATGGCCACTAAATGAAGACTTAATCAGAGATATCACATCAATACAGGTAATCTTCGACTTACCACTGTTCATTTAGTGACAACGGCACTGAAAAAAGTGACTTATGAACATTTTTCACAGTTACGACCTTTGCAGCATCCCCATTAAATGCTTGACAACTGGTTTTTATTTATTTATTTTATTTTGTGGAGTACATATTAGATAATATATATAAGTATGATCATGAATTGAATACATAAAATGAATACAATTAAAGGGAACATTAGGACAGGGACAGTAGGCACGCTGGTGCTCATGATCATGTATCAGATGCTTGACAACTGGTTCATATTTACGATCATTGTTGTATCCCAAGGTCATGTGATCAGCTTTTGTGACCATCTGACAAGCAAAGTCAATGGGGAAGCCAGATTTGCTTAACAACCGTGTTACTGATTTATCAACTGCAGTGATTCACTTAACAACTGAGGCAAGAAAGGTTGTAAAATGAGTCAAGACTCACTTAACAAATGTCTCACCTAACAACAGAAATTTTGGGCTCAATTGGGGTCATAAGTCAAGGACTATCTGTACATTGACAGAATACAAAATGCATAAATAGTGACTTCACTGCTGTTTGTGTGGAACTCGGGTCCCTTCCATACAAATATTTCTCAGCACTACCCAACCTGATCATAGCAAATAAAAAATGCATTGCAAATAATCTGTTATTATTATCATCACTATCCTGAGTTAAGTCTGTCTGTTTTACTTTGTCTCAATCAATAAGCAGGTGCCAAGACAAAAGGTAGGTTTTAATTGAACCAAAATTAGGACTACCACAATTATAATTACTTTATTCAAATAATTCGTTTGCAATTGCTGGCATTCTAGTAGATTGTCTACTCTTCTTTAAAGTCCTCCAGAAATTTTGTCCTAAAATTCCCATTAGCTTCAAATAATAGGCATATGAATAAGAATAACAATGCTATAGCTAAAGATAACTCAAAGATCCTAGTGGACAGTCACTTAAATATGAGAAAGCAGTGTACTGCAGCTGCCAAAAAAGCCAACACAGGTCTCGGCTGCATTAACAGAGGGATGGAATCAATATCACGTGAAGTGTTAATACCACTTTATAATGCCTTAAGGCACACTTGGAATACTGCATGCAGTTTTGGTTACTATGATGAGACTGTAGAAAGTGCAGAGAAGAGTGACAAAGATGATTAGGGAACTAAAGGCTAAAACATATAGAGAACTGTTGCTGGAATTGGGTATGTCTAGTAGTTTAATGAAAAGAAGGGCTAGGGGTGACATGATAACAGTGTTCCAATATCTCAGGGGTTGCCACAAAGAAGAGGGAGTCAAGCTATTCTCTAAAGCACCTGAGGGCAGGACAAGAAACAATGAATGGAAACTAATCAAGGAGAGAAGCAAACTAGAACTAAGAAGAAATTTCCTGACAGAACAATTAATCAGTGGAAAGACTTGCCTCCAGAAGTTGTGAATGCTCCAACAATGTAAATTTCTAAGAAGAGACTAGGCAACCATTTTTCTGAAATGGTTATACAGTTTATAATTATACAGCATATTTGCAGAATTTACATGCAATACCCCCAACATGGTCAAATGCAAGCATGTTGTATAGAAAAACTACTTACTATGCAAAGATTTTTTTAGAAGTCTGAACTGATACGGAAAGTGTCAGGAGGAGGAAAAAAATACCATGCATTGCTATTACAATCATGAACCTCTGTTCTCATTTATTTCACAATTGTTTAGGTTTGGGTTGTTGCAGCTGCAGTTGTTATCTAAAAAGCTAAAACAGCATACTAGAAATTTGCATTAATTATGTCATAAAGTAACATATGCAAACTTACCAAATTTACAAATACATACTTTTCCAGACTATGTGTTGTAGTTTGCAACTAAAAAGTTAAATGAACGGGAAAGAAATATTTTAATACATAAATTAGGAGAAATTGTATAAAATCAAATCAGATTAAGGAAAACAGTATTTGATTAAGGGAAATGATGCAAATAGTACAGACAAAATTAATAGTGTAAAATGTATAAAAATACATTTTGATTTTTGAATTATTTTAACCAAACTGCAAAAGTTACAGAAGTAGGACAGCATGAACAAGGAGAAATGAGAAACTGGGAAAGTCCAAATGAACAGATTTGCAATGATGTAATATAAAATCTGCAAACTGATAAGAATTTTTTCTATATTTTCTTCAATGACTGTTCAAACAGCAGCTCTCCCAGTCTTCTCACATACAGGGTTCATGCAGTTTCTGGTGTGAAGGTTGCTGCCATGTGGCAGAGTTCAGAATACACCAATTCAAGTCCAAGTCCAAGTTCAATGTGTGGTGCATGTATTCAGATAAGTTGTTCTTAGCTGAACAAAAGGAACAACTACCAAGTTGAAAGAGCCAAAGGGGCAAACATAAAGTACAAAGAGATCCCACAGTGCCTAGTAGGGATAGCAATGGAATTATAAATTCACTAATATGAAAAACATGGATGCTGCAAGAACTAGAGTGATGAATCAAAGAAGGTGAAGGTACAGAAAGCCTGATGATACTCTTTTTATCATAATTCTACAGTGTTAGAAAGTTATGTCCTCTGGTGCAATGTTTTTCTTCTATGAAACTACACTAAGTTATCACTAACAACACAGAAAAGCAATTAAAGCTGCCAAAAATTTACCAGCATCCTGCTCCAATGCTTTGAACAGCAACCTGATTTAAAGGCACATGGGAATTGTAATGTGTATATCTTTCCTTGATTTTTGAAGAGCTAATGGTAATTAAAGGCACAACAGCAAACCTTAGTAAGTTTCTTCCCCTTACTCAACAGCATTTGCTAGTGGAGACCCTTAGACAAGCTTAGTTTTTAATAGATTCATGAGATGCAAAAGTCCAAATATTGCCATCTTTTCTACCAGAGTTCTAGGAAAAAGAAGTATGGCTGAACTTCTGTCTTATATAATATTCTAACTCCAGCCTAACATGTCTATCCAGAAAAAGAAAGATAATACAATGTAATTCGGGGGGGGGGAGGTGTCAAACTTACATCATCACGGTAGCATCACATGACATAACGGGACTTTTTTCCTCTTGGCTAAACCTGGCGTTGGCAGGCCAGCTTGTGACACATCCGGCCTGTGGGCAGGAATTTGACAGCTCTGATGTAATTAAAATTATACAATCTTTGGGAGTTACAGTAGAAAGCAAAGCCATGGTTTCCTTCAAGCAAAAGGATGCAAAGGGTCTTTTACTTCTCATAAGACCTTCCTTCCTTCCTTCCCCCTATTTCACAATATAACAATTCATAAGCAAATAGTGATGGTTTAATGGGTTAACTGGTTGGGTTGATATATTAAACTATAAACTCTGGTTAACTAACTGGATTCCCAAAATATGTGAAATTACAAACAAGGAAATCATATTTTGACTGAGTATGATGTATGGACATGGCATGGTTTCAAATCTGCTTTGTTGTGTATCAGTTTGTGTCTATTATCAGCAATTTTTGCATCAATTTGGGAATTAACATATATTCACCATATATAATCTGTCCTTGGATAGAGAACTGTGCTTTCTTTCTACTGAATCATATCAAATGTGAATGCTTTCGTATGACATCCAGTCCCATTCTGCCTTAAGCGGAAATACTGTGTTCAAACAAGACGAGAGTGGATGGATAATGTCAGGCTCTATTTCATAAATTTGACTGACCTATTACAGATAATCAAAAGCACAGTTCAAACCAGCTTCTTCCTTAAAAGATGGCCTTGGTTGATACATTAAAACCGGATTTACTTCAAATGCTAAGCCATGGTTTGTTAAACCAGACTTGATTGCTTCATACAGATTAAGCCATAAACTATTATTCATATGTTATTATAGCTGTGTTGACACAACATGCTATATCACAAAGCCAGGGCTATGCATGAGCCAGATTAAAAAAGTAAACATACTTTTTATTAAAGTTTTTTTTACATATGTAAAAGATAAACATGAAAATATATAAAGAAAAGTTAAGGGGAAAAACTTTAAAGGAAAAAGTGCAAAGAATAGTACAGAAACTAATTCCAATATCCTTTGTAACAACAGTTACAAACTAAATTCATATCCCTCTTCCTTCTTTAAAATTACATTATATAGTTCCTTTCTGCTCCATATTTAATCATTTTAAGTCACAAATCCAGAAATCTTTCACTTTTTCTGTTTTCAGCAAAAAAGTCCATAAAGTTTCCAATCTTCTGATCCGAGCTATCTAATCAAACAAATCAATTTTGCCATTTCTGCGCATCCCACCATATTCACAATCCAATGTTCCATTGTAGGCATTTCTCCATTGTTGAGCATGTAGTACCCTTACTGCAATTACCATGTTCAAAACTAGCCTTCCTCAAGTCTTTTCTCCCAAATCTCGATTTTAAAAAACCTGGTTTCATTTGAAGTTTCTGGGTTGGATGGACACAGCAGGTATGATATACCTCTTCTTGTATTAGTACCGTTACAGCTTACCACAATTTAGAGGAAAAAAATAAGTGGAAAAACTGTGAACCCTTTCAGAAGTTATTGATCTGATGTAGTGTATATACAGTATTGATCTGATGTAATGTATACATAAAACAAGTGTACAATCCTTATAGCATACTCTGCCTTCCTTCTGGCCTAATCTTCACAAGGCTGCCCCAACATAGCCTTTAGGGACTTTCCATATATGGATTGGAGAAAGCAATATGTTTGCATTTCTCCTTATTCTCTTCCCTTTTTGATCTTATGAGGAACTTTTTTTCAGGCACAGATATGGCTTGCTCTTTTGAAAAGGATCTTTGTTTCTTTGACATTTCTTCTTTCATTTCCCTCGGTCATGGTACTATAACTATCCATGATAATTACAGCCTCCAGTACAAGTAATCATTGAAAAGGAATCCTTAGTTTAGATGAATTTTTCAAGTGCTGTGTTGATTCAGTGGTCAGTTCTTACTCAGGTTTTCCTTCCATGGGATTCCACAATTCCTTTTTGGAAAAGAAGTTTTGGAAGAAATATCCTTCTGGGTTTAGCTCCAAGTGGGGAAAGACACTGGAAACATGGAGACTGCTTGGAAAGATGGAACACATGGCTTGAGTTCCTGAACAGAAAAAGGGGTGAGATACAACAAGTCCCCGGGTTTTATGCTCTCTCTGGCTTTGAACTTCCTGGGCCCCAGAAAAAGTATCCTGATTGGTTGTCAGACTCCCAAGGGGTGGGGGTCTTAGCTAGCCTTGCTGGCTGATGTAATCTTTCCAGGTGCCATGTGGTGAGTTTCTGTCCTAGATGGGTCCTATTGTGTTGCAGATTATGGCCCATTAACAAAGATGTGGGGGGGGAGGCAGGAAGCTGCTTGTCTTTTAAAACATGTTTCTCCATTTCTCATCCAGGGAAATATAATATTCTGCCTTTTTAATATTTCCTAAAATATTTCATTCTTCTAGGAAAGGGGTGGGTGTTAACTTCCTACAGAAGAATTAAAAAATTGCAGCCTGGCTAAACATAAGCTTTGTTTATATGTTACTCTAACCAATTAAATTTACCCAATTAACCCAATTTTCAGGAGGCATACAACCCAACTAACCATTCAACTACAAGAAACTATACTAAAAACTACAAACTAGGCTAAAATATGATTCAGCGCAAACTGTCTTTAAGTTTTGATAATTTCACTGGGAAGCACTTACACAAGTCATTAACTTTGCCATTGAAATCAATGGTAAAGTTGATTTTAACTTGTCCCTTGATTACATCAGAGAAACCTGACCTTTTTAAACACATACTTATGGGAACCTATGCATAGGGTTTGACATGCTGACTCATTCAATTCATGGAGTTAATGTCTGTCCTCGCCATAACACAACCACAGGTTTTATAGTTTTAGAATATTATAAAGTTAAGCTATAGTTTTGTCAACATCATGGGCATTTTTGTGCAGAACTAGGCCTATTGACAGGCAATGTGGGACTCTCCTATTAGGAAGCTGATATTTCTCAGACTGTGTTGTCTTACTGAGCTGGTATCATGTCTGATTGCTGCTTCTGCTGGCTGACTGGACTAGCTCAAGAAAAAGAAAGACAAAAACTTATTGGTTAACTTTACCATTGAAATCAATGGTATCAGTGGGTTTGATATGCTGACTCATTCAATTCACGGAGTTAATGTCTGTCTTCCCCATGGCACAGCTAAAGAAAGTTATTTTATGCTTGTAAGAATATAACTTTTTCATAAGCCATCTAGAACAGGGGTCAGCAACCTGCGGCTCTGGAGCCGCATGTGGCTCTTTCACCCCTCTGCTGCAGCTCCGTCACTCAAAATATGCATCACAACCACCAATGTGCAACACCTGCCAGCACGCAATTTATTGAGCTTTTCAAACCCCAGTAGGCCAACCATGGATAAATCCAAGAAAAGTTTCAGAAGAAAACAGAACATTTAATTCAACCTCATATGCTAGTTTTGCGGCCGCTCAAGAAATAGTCAGGCACGGGAACGTTTTTGTGGCTCCTGGTGTTTTCTTTTCTGTAGGGAAACGGGTCCAAATGGCTCTTTCAGTGTTTAAGGTTGCAGACCCCTGATCTAGAACATTATAAAGTTAGGCTATAGCTTTGACATCATCATGACCTTTTTTGTGCTGCTTCTGCCGACTGGCTGGACTAACTTAAGAAAAAGAAGAAATAAAGATAAAGACTTGTTGATTTTACCCAGTTCCTGCTGACTCTACATGAATACTCCCTGTAGTTTTCTTGGCAACAATTCAGAAGAGTTCGAGAGCTTCCCCCCCCCCCCCATGATGATGAGCCTGCCCCACACACACATAGACCAACCCATAGAAATCTATCCTAAAAAAAAAAACCTTCAGAGTGTTATTGGTGAGTTATGTAGTAGTTATCTGAAATTCTTTAAAGCAGCTGCATCTTTTCTGAGATTGCACAACTGCCTTTGATGTCTGCAATACATTAGCTGGTATAAAAAGCTGCAGAAAGATACTTCACCTGTAACTCCTAAATGACTGGATTTGGATCAATGGAGAACTTAATTGCATTTCAAGGCACAAGATTATACTTTGAATTTTGCGATTTATAATCAATTTAGCAATGATTTGATTATCAGATATGACAAAGCTTATGTAATATTTCTTTGCCTGCTGGGTGAGATTTGAAAAAAAAATTAAAAAGAGGATAAAGTATGGTCAGCTTTGGCCCTAGTAATAGGTTTCTGTCTAAGGTATCAAGACAGAGAATAAATGTCACACATGCCGTATATTTCATAGTGCAAGAATTTCCGAAAGAGCTGGAAGACAGAAATACTGAAAAGGCGTCTGTTAAAATCAACTGTACAGGTCTATCATAACACCTTTTTCTGTCCAAAGTCTCAGTTATACCGTTTGGTGCTGCTTGCTTGTTGCTAAGAAAGCTGCAGGAGTGTGCCCATGCAGTCATCAGGTGGAGTCACCTTTGACTGCAGGGGGTGTTCATCTTTTTAATCTTATGAAGCTGCTTGCTGTTGGAAACCCTGAAAGGAAGAATTGATCGTGACTGAGGGGGGAAAAAAAAGTATTGAAAGCTTCACGTCTCTGTCTCTCTGCGGCCATCTCCCCAAGCAGCGGTGTTTAATTCACTTCGCTTTTCAGTCCACGCCCGAAGGGGGTGAGGGGGGGGGAGAGAGAAAGCCTTACTCGCATGTTTTGCTCCGAATTTCTTTTTCTCTCGTGTCTTTCTCCCGCCTCCGCGGCGCTCTTCTGGAAGCACCCTTTTCTCTTCCCCCTTTAAAAAAAAAAAAAGAAAAGCCAAGTCCCAGGGCTGGGCCTGCTGCGTTTGAAACCACCTTAACAGAGCTCCTCCTTCTCTGGAGGCTGGGGGTGAATCTGGCAGGACTAGGCAGTGGTGTTACCATGACGAACATTTTCTTAAGCTTCCACGGCTCAGAGCAGGAGGGACTCAACTCGCGGAGGGCTGGGTTTAAAAAGACAGGGGAGAAAGAAGGCGAGAAGGAAACGAGGGGCGCTCTCCGAGAGACCCTCGCTCTCCTCAGAATAAACATCGCCCAGTTTTAAGCTTCCCCGCTCGAGCCTTGTCTAGGAGAAGCCAGTCATTTCGCTCCTTCTCCAGTTCGCGGCTTGTTCTAAACTTCAGCAGGAGGCCGGCAGAATCGGAAACCGAGTAGCTCTCTTAAGGTTTCCCCTCCCCTTCCGCCCTCCCCTTATGGAAATCCAGGGGGGTTTCCCAGACTGTGGAAGCCAGAATTACAGGAGGTGGAGGGAAATCGGTGGCACTCGTCTCTGCCCGTGAATCGCCACGATCGCTCAAGAGCCGTTGTTCCGGTCGCTTGCTGGCTGCACGCTGTTCCCGAGGCCGCCGACTTGGAGCTGCGGTTTGGGTGGATTGTCTGCTTGTCTAGAAAGAGTCCCTTCGTGTCTGCTCGTCTCGCGCTCCCGGGGCAACAGTAAATCAGGTATTTTGCTTCCTCCCCCCCCCACCCCTTTCAGTGGCTTTTTTTTTTTTTTTTTTGCTAGCCTGCTTTTCCGATCGAGGAAATAAGGCAGCAGGGCACGGGAAAGTGTTGCAAGCGTTATCACCCACGCCTGTTTCTGGCGCTTGTTGGTAGAAAGCAAACTTGGGGGGGAGGGGGGACGGGGGACGGGAGAAAAGCGAAAGGCAGATTTGGGTGGAGTAGACGGGAATTCGGTTGAAGCTCCTTTTTTCTTTTGCTTTTTTGGCCGACGAATCTAAAGGTGGCCGGAGGATTTTTCTCCAAAATATCCTCGGCTCGGGTTTTGTTTTACTTGCGGGGTGGGGAAGAGGGACAAGGCTACATAGTTTTGTGGCTATAATTAGCTGTGGAAAATTTAGGGTATTCCCTGCGTTTGGAGAAACGTAAAACAGGACCGTTGAAAACGTGTGCAAGGATAAGAAGGAATGCAAAACTGTTGAAAAATACCTTCGGACTTTCGCGCGGGTGTGAAGTTCGATCTATTTTGAGTAGGGTTTCATAGAATATTAAATGGTTGGTGGATCTTAGTCATGAATTAAAATCCAGGGTGGGGGGGAAGGCAGCCCACTAAGCAGCTTGTTTTCTACTGTTGATTTCCCCCTTTTCCCCTTCTCCGTCGTGTTGAAACTTTTAAAAAACCGTTCTGGCTGTTGATCCTCGTTGCATGCAGAACCGCCGGACGGGAGAATTGGTTGCCCTCTGATAAGATTGAGCTGCTCGAGTCGCCCTGACAAGTCTACACCCTCAATGTTACAACACTTCTCTGTTAGCGAAGGTGGTTGGGGAGGGGAAAAGGCAGCGGAGAATTCCCGAGGGGAAGAAACCGTCTGGCTGGTGTGCGGATAAAATCGTTCAACAGGACGGGGCTGGTGAAAAGAGGAAAAACGGAATCTGCCCCGCGCACCTTAGTTGCAAAACGTGAGGAGCTGCCCTGCCGCCGGAGCTGTGGGAGACAGCAAGGGAAGACCCCCTTCCGCTTTTGAGCCTCGGGGTTGTGTTCAGTTCCAATGACGAAAAGAAAGCCGACTGGAAGGGGCTGTGCGGTTCCAGCGTATGTAGCGCGCTGCGTTCAGCCTCCTGGTCTTTAGCACAGTAACCTGATTATTTACCGGTGGGGAGCACAGTACTGGGTCTGTGTGTCAAAGACCGTTTAGATGTTCAATTGGAAAGGAAAGGGCGCGATCCGCCCTCCCGCCCTCTTCGGCGGCCAGCAGCGTCTCTTATTCTGCGCTGACAAACGGACTGGCTGGCCAGACGGACAGATGCAGAAGGAGGGAAGGCGGATGCGGGGAGGAGGAGCGGGGGGGGGGGAATAAGGAGGAAGCGTAGAAATGCCAGTTGATCAGTCGCCTCCGAGGGGCGCGGCGGGACGGAAAGACGACCCCTCCCTTTTCGCCGTACGGGTCCTAACCAGGGTCTGCAGCCCCAACAAGGGGGATTTGTTATAAAACGGGGGGTGTGGAGCCGAAGCCGTGTTGGTTGCCTAAAGAAAGATTGAGGATTCGGACGTCTAGTTTTTTTTTTTTAAAAAAAGAAAAATGATAAAAATGCGTATGCTAATTTCTGTCTGCAAAATTTTGAAGTAATGGCTAGGATTTATTTGAACTCCTTACAAGGCAGAGGCATCCAATTACCTTTCTAAATCATCCCAACTAAAGCCAATTACTAAATTAATCAGCTCCCCATCCCCATATCTTCCCCAAGAAGATTTCTCTTCAATTTATAGTTAATTTACTATGGCTTTGAGCAGGTGTGTAAATCGGGAAAATGATGGCTGGAAGGCTTTTTTTTAAAAATAATGAGCTGTTTCTCCTCTCTTTTACTATGTATGAAGTTTTGCATCAAAAATGGAATTTCAAAAATTTGGCTGAATACTAATCCAGAAGAAAGCCAACAGCAAATTAGAAGCACCTCCATTCCTTTTTTGGATTTCTCTTTGACTGAAGATCCCATCCACTTATGATTGATTAACTTTAGTATATTGACAAAAACAATATGATGGGGAAAGGTTCAAAATTAGCAAGTTGTGGGGGGGGGGAGTCTGGAAAATATGGAAAGAAAAGAAAATGAAGCCAGGGAAACCAAGAACAAGAAAAGGACTGGATGTTTTAGAATTCAAAAAAGATAGAGGTTTGGGTGGAACAAGAACTAGACAGCTTACAGGAGACTAAAAGGAGAGATGGTCCGAGAGATGGGCATGTAGGAGTTTTCATTACCAAACACAGGGCATATGGTACAGGACCACCAGTTGCTATTGTGTTGCTATGTTTTGCACATAGTTCTATGTAATTCTAAAGCATCTAGTTCTCTCCCCATTACTCTGTCCTCCCTTCATATATAGGAATTCAGTTTAGGGAAATAACTTCCATTGGCACCAACAAACTCACAGTTCCAGATGCTGCTTTTGATTCTCCTTGTGAGCCCAGGCACAACAGCGCCTCTTTCTGCAGCCATTCCAGGAAATAGAGGGGGGGAGGAGAGACAGATTTTCTGTTGGAAGGGGGAAAAGAGATGATTTCATGATCTTAAGGGCCCATCTATTCAAAAAAGGACTGCAGCAGGAAGTCCCATGGTTGGAAGCAACTTGGAACTATGCCTTCATAAATGTGAACAGTAAAGAAGAGTGAGCCTGTGTAACTTGTTCTCCTGTTAATAAGCTTCCATAATTTGAAGGGACTATCTCTTCCACACCCTACCCTGCCATGATCCATTCTTAAAAAAAAAAAAAAACCATTGCTTCACTTGGCTATATTACATTTGTATCTCCTCTATATAAACCTTATCCAAATTACAAATTCTTATTGTAGAATGAGGGTGGGAAGAAAGCAGTGACAGCTACCCTTTAATTACGCTGATGATCAGATTTAAGAAGTAAACTGCTCTTTGTCAAGCAATTGGAATGCCTGCCTAAAATTCAAAGAGAATATAGTAGATTTAAACAATATAGAGTAAGAAAACATGTAAGGTTTATAATATAAACTGGGTTTAATTTTTTTTTTAATTTCTAATTGTTACAAATGCATTCTGGTATAGTGAACTGGTGTGGTTTGATTTCATCACTAAAAAACCTCCACAACGTTTGAGGGAGAGAGGGCGGAGGAGGGAGCTTCAAGGACATACTAGCGACTCACTAGAGAAACAATTCTCTGCATGTTAAATGGTCCCTCTATGCCTGGAGTGCAGCCTATAAAACTTAATGAGGCTTATTTTTGTACTGTTAGACATTGGGTGGGGTGGGGGTGTTGTTTCTAGGAGATACTTTCCACCCTATGCCATTACTTTCCACTTCCTCCTTGCTGCCCCTCCCTCCCTGAAGTTGACCCTAGGAACTCTTTTGGGTAGCTGTGCAGAATCTCTGCAGTCTTATCACATCTGATAACTGGTGCTGCCAAATGGCTTTAAAGCAGATGGGGCTACCCGAGTTCCTGCCTTCCCCCACTATCACCAAGATAATCTTGTCTGGCTTCCTGCCAGCCCCCTGAGGGGAAAACAGAATCTCATTTGGGGGAAGCACCCATCTGTTAGTGAATCACTGCTGGGGAATGGACTGGGTTGGTGGAATTGCTTCCTGCCCTCCCACTGGCTTTAGGGGTCTTCCTGCTCCTGCAGTCCTTGCATTTGTTGCCCCTCCTTTCTCTCTGCTGCATGCTCAGTGTCCATAGAGCTGAGCTGAATCTAGTGCATTTTAGTTGTGCACACCTTCCATAAAGTTCAGCAAGGAAAGAGGTGCAACACTTTTAACGGCTTGAATTTATTCAGAATCATCAGTAGAAGACAATCAAACATGTTTCTCTCTAAAAAGCTGGAAGGGGACATTGTGGGAGTCTCTTGGCTTCTCTGGATATAGCTGCAGTCCGTTAACAGCTGCTTCAAATGGTGCAACCCAGCCCTATCACCACTCCAAGGGGCAAGAAGGGGGGGAAAGGCAGAAATTAGTTGTGTGTCTGTGTGTTCCTTTTCTAAAAACAACCCTAAAGATAAAAGGGTTGCTTTTGTGTCAGACTCAAGGTCAGCCCTTGGTGATCTATAAATTAAATTTTAAGAAGTTGAATAAGAGGCTAATACATCTGGTGTTTGGCAGCATGAAGTTATAGCTGCAGCCGGTCTTTGGCTGGGTTGGGACAAGACAGAGCTGGGGCATGGAAGGCAGTAAGAAGTTAAAGTTGTCTGTAGGCAAAAAGGGTAAAACAAACCACAGTGAAAGTATAGTAAGGGTTGGCCAAAAAGGAATTGACCAAGTAGGGATGTTGGATCAGCAGTAGTAGGTTGGCAGCCTTACAAGTTATCAGGATCTAAGAATGTGGTAATATTGTTGATTTTCTTCTCAGTGGGGTTTTTAGCACAGTTTCTTAGTTTGTATCAACCTGCCAGTTTGAAGAAGCATATCACACCTCAGTAGGCAACAGCATGAATCAGCCACAGCCATCCACGTACTTGAGTCTGGGGAAGAATGCTACAGTCTTACAATTGCCTAGGATCTGAGGATTTTGAGCATATATAGTAGTTTCTCATCATTACACAGTGCTATTTTGTGGGGTTATGTTAGGGTTTGAACTAGCAACAAAGTTTTAAATTTTGAACGTTGTGTTTAATGAAAAACTCTATAAAGCTATATCTGAGAGAGCTCAGAACTCCTAAATCACTGGTAGATCTCTGAACATAAAGCCGTGCTTTTAGCACTTTGGAGTTGTAGCTCACGTTTCAAATAAGTGTTGACTTTGGTCAATTTTTATATCCGAAAATAGAAATTATCCTCACAAGTTGGAATTCAAACCCAGATGCCCACTTTCTTTCTTTTTCTTTTTTTTTAGGGGAAATAGCTTTCTGTAGTGGTGGGATTCAAATAATTTCACAACTGGTTCTTTGCCTTAATGACCAGCTGGGTGGGTGTGGCTGGGTGGTCATGTGACTGGGTGGGCATTCTGTTAGCCTTCCAAGTAACATCAAATGCTGTTAGTTAA